GAACACACTGCAAGCCTTACCAGTGAGCAAATCAAAGTACTATAGAATGGCTTGGAAACTCTCCTGATTTAAATCCAAACGAGAATTTGTGGACAATATATGACAACTATATACTATATGTTGTTCATTAGTATAGGTATTTTACAAAGTTGTGCGTTGTTATCCATTACTGTAATTTTTTCCATTATGTTTTCAAACGGTTGACAATGTGCTGAGCACTCATTAGAAAGTGAAAAAATTATCCATTATGGATTTTTTTCATGTTATAATGTCATGGTAATGCGCGCATTAAAGCGTGAAAAAAAAACTGTTCCTTTACATGCATTTCAGAATATTGCAGCTGTATTCATAGTTGATTCTGTTGAGTACCGGCTTTAGTTTTTTAATATAAATTGCTTCTAGTATCTATAATCTAATTTTGTTGTGTTCATGGTGTAGAATAGTTGTGTTGTGGATTAGTAATTTTTTATATTGTGAATGCGGACAAAAATGTTGTTGTAGATGTCTCGCAGTAGACGAAAGGCCAGATGTGTGTAGTGTAAGCCTTCTCGTTAGTGTATTTGTCGTATAACCAACATATATATTTCTTTTTTGTCGGAGATACATTCTCCCAAGGGACATTTAAACTGGTATATAATGTTGGTTTTACGTAATACATCAGTTAGTGAGGAGAGTTATTTTGCATTTCAAAGCATAATTAAAAAATTACGATAATGGATAACAAAGCACAACTTTGTATAAATACTTGTGCTAATGAACACCATATAGTTTTGTACTACTTGCACCCCCGAAGATGATCTTGGAAGAAGATCGAAAGTACTTGGGAAATGAAAATAAAAGAAATTTAAACAGCTATAGCAGATTTCTCTCATCCTTTAACATCAATACACGGAACGTTATTCGTGAGTATGAACGGATTTTGTTAAAAATTAGCAGACATAATTTTTGTAATTTATTAATCAGACATGTCTAAAAGAAAATTTGCTGCCTAAACGCGCGCGCACACACACACACAGTTCCGTATCCTAACGTAAACAAAGCAATTTCTAAAGAAAGGGATGTATTTTTTTATTTATTATTCCGACAGATTTTTATTACTTAAACGTTATTTTTAGTGAATGCTCTTATTTAAATACTTAAACAGGAATATCCACTAAAAATAACTGTTAAGTAATACAAATCTATCAGTTTATCTTTGTAATTTACACTTGACGATGATCTTAAAAAAAGATCGAAAGTACTCGGATTAACAAAAACTACGGTGCCTTCCTTGATTAATTTCATTTTAAGATCAAGAAACTGATTAGTCAATTGGAAAGGATCAATATAAAATAAATAGGCTAAATATATCTATATTCAACGAATGATTGAATGAACATATGCTGCCGAAATACACACAATATGTCACACATGTGACAATATAGATATAAAACCTTTGAAAAACCAATAACATTTCTGTTCTTGTATATAAATAATTGTCAAAAATAAAATTCTTACATTTGCCTTAATAAAGAGAAACCTAAACGGGTCGGCTAAGATAAATCTTCTTTTTGTCTTTTTTCATATTGCCCTGTTTTGAAATATATGTATGTATTCCATAAATAATTATATTGATCACATCACCCCAACCTGTCAAAATAACTGGCATATCATCTTACTGACCAGAGATTAATACGGACCCATTTAAACCACCATGGAATCGTACCAACCTCAATAAGCAACATACTTGTCGAAAACACTAATGTGATACAGACCTACTGCAAAAAGCGTTTATAATGATGTAAGCCCTTATTACAGAAATCATGAAACCAACCTTAATAACATTAATTATGAACACGGCCACAGTCTACTGGCTGTGTTTCGAAATTAAGTGTTGATTTCAAACTCTGTTAGGAATGACTGCAAAATATTTTCCCCTCCCCTTTTATAGGCAAAATCACACAAATGCATACTTGTATTTTTTCCTAGCCAGTAAAATAGGCCGGTTCTCAATTTCATCTGACTCAGTCCCGATCTTTCTTGTCTTGAAGTTAGAACACTGTGTTCGTGTGTCCGAAATTGCTTTTGTGTTGACGCCAATTCTTAGTTTGTGAACATTTTTCAATATTACTGTTGATTTGTTGTTTGTTTTTCTTTATCTTCTTTTTCGCCCAGTTCTTTCCTTTTCTTTTTTTTCTTTTTTTTTTTTTTTTCTTGCTTATTGCAAACTTTGTCAATTCTGTTTGTTGGACAGACCTGTTACTTATTTTCTATTTGACAATGGCTACTCACTTTTATCGACTTTTAGCAACTTTTATACCATTTCAAATATCACTTACACACTATTTATTATATAACAAATATAATAATCCTTGAAAATGCCTAACAGATTAGCCAAAGGCGCTGGAAACCAACAATGTTTTGGACAATTGTTACCTTAATGGTCCACTCGTAAAAAAAAAATAGCGAAAATTTATGGGGAAATAATTTTTGCATATTAGCATTCTTTAAACCTTCCTTTAGCTGGAACACTTGCCAAAATCGAAAAATATTGACTTGTTATAGAAGTGGGTCCTGTTCATAACATTGATACAGCGTAAAATCGATCACTGACTTCTTACAGAGTTATTGGGACTTCAAACTGTGCTTACGTTATTGATATCTACGTATAAAAACAGACTCTTTTTTTACTTTTAAATAAAGGACAAACGGATATAGACATTTTTACGTGTCTTATATTTCGAAAACAGTTTAAAAGCAATTTTGGGCTAAGTAGTTGATTTTTGTTTTTGTTTTTTTGTTTACATTTTTTTTTTTACAAAAAGATTTTTGACATTAAAGAACAAAAAGATGTACACATTTTTAAAGTAGATCTACATTTTTAATTAAAAAAAATTACATAAATTAACAAAGTATTCAAAACATATGCAGATATCAATGACGTAAGCATATTTTCAAGGCACGACATTCATAAAAAAAATTGAGTGCAGATAACTCTATGAATAGTTTTCGATTTTGACAAATATCGCGGCTTGAGATAGGTCGAAAGAATGCTCATCTACAAAAACTACGAAAGGACCAATCTATTTAAGCAGCCCACCTTTTAATAAATATTCTTAACAAATAAATTTTGTCTCATAAGGAATATTGAAAAATATATTTAAACTAAGTTAAGATTTATATTATTTTATCGGCCGCTTCAAATTTGATTTAACATACACACGATACCAAATTAGGAAAAAGAATAAAAATTCGCTTTTTCATTAAAAATTTCCGAAATTAAGTGGAAGAATGACAAACAAAGAATTTGGTGAAAGTATTAGAGATTTTGCATAATTTCGGTGTTTATATGTGATTAAATATATTTTTATGTTGAGTATTTGGTTGATTCATAAATAATTTCTGTTTTTGTTTTTCAACTTTATTCTTAAAAATATAAAATGCAATTATACTTTATTCAGTTTTATATTCACCATTATTTTCAGTTATTTGTTGACACTTCTAAAGCATCTTTTCGATGCCTTTTGAGTAAAAATTCGCAGATTTTGATGTGAAAGATTTTTCGACAAATTCTTGGATATAGTTTATATTAAAGTTTTCCTCATCAAAACGCTATGCAGCGACCGGAAAAGATAATAATCGGTTGGTGCAAGGAGGTCAGGTGAATATAGTGTTTGGGGCTGAACAGACCGACCGAGTTCCAAACTTTTTTCCTATGTTGTTCTTTATGTATGCGGCCTTGCGCTTTCATGGAGAAAAACATTTTTCCTTTAATACACAATGTATGTTACCACTGCAGCCGAAAATCAAGTTAGTATATTCAAATTTATTAATTGATACGTATAATTAATAATTAGGATGATACATTTGTCATTACAATTGGTTCCACAAAACTGAAGTAAGTAATGATTCACCCTAAAACTTGAATCGATAAAGGAATATTGAAAGTCCTTTACATTATGATTAACTCCATTCATTGATAAAATATTAGTACAGTCTTGTCGATTTTTTACGATACAGAAAAGGCCTGACGATTGCGTCTAGCATGAAACAGCCTGTCGCCTCTGAGTGTTGATTTCAATGTTCACTTTTATATTTATATTTACATACGCTCTATTTCTGATATTGAGCACTTTATCCCATAAATATAGCACAACTAAAAACTATATATATATATTAAGAAATAATGCGGCTTAATTAATATTACAAAATAGTCATTAAAAGAATAAATATATAAAGTAATGTATTAATTATTTTATGATATATATATATATATGTGTGTGTGTGTGTGTGTTCATGCATATATATATATATACACACACACACACACACACACACACACATGTGCATATATATTCCTTATCAGTGTCAACATTATATTTAGTAGGTACACGTGTATCAACAGGCATCACTTTTTAAACAGTAAAATTAATGTCTACCACCTTAGAAGTCGAAAGTCTTATTAAATATACCTTCCGAAACAAATCGAATATGTATTTTTTTAATGTTAGAAAAAATTAAATTAAATTAAAATGTATTTAAAAATTAAATTGAAATTTATTAAAAATCCATTAATATATATCTATATCTATTTCTCTCTATATATATATATACAGAAAGAGAGAGAGAGAATCAGAGAGAGAGAATGGGAAGTGATAGATAGATAGATAGATAGATAGATAGATAGATAGATATTTTTAAAATTCTATATATATTCAAGTATATAGGTATTTGTAAAGATTAATCTATATTGGGACGTTTTAATGTTTAATCATTTGTTCCCTCCCTCCCACGCATTCCTTCTGTGCTTCCCTTCACTTCCCTTCATGTTTTCCTTTTTCTTTTTTCTACCTCGTCTCAGTTACATGCATGTCGCCATTTTCCATTATATCCTACTACCGCTACTCTCTTTTCCCTCTCTTTTCTTTTAGGACTACCCTTTTTATTTCCTGGCATCTCTCTTTGCCTCTCTCTCTTAATTATCTTCTTGATCGTCTCACTATAACTCACTCTCTCTATATATGTCTCTCCCTGTCACTGTATATCACCGTCCTTCTCCACCAGGTTTCTTCGACTATCAATTTCTTTCTATTTTTACCTATTTCTACCCCCCTCTCTCTCCCTCTCTCCTCCCTCTCTCCTCCCTCCCTCTCTCTCCCTCCTCCTCTCTCCCTCCCTCTCTCTCTCCCTCCCTCTCTCTCTCTCTTTCATCTTTTCTTGCTCTATCTTTCTATCTAGCCCATCTCCCTAACCATATGTTTGTCTCTCTCTCTCTCTCTCTCTCTCTCTCTGTGTGTGTGTCACCCATAACTCTCTCTTTCTCTTTCTTCTTTATATCTCTTTCTATCAGCTTTTTCTTTTTCTTTGTTTACCCGTCTTTCTATTACACTCACCCTTTCTGTATCTCGAAATCCCTCTCTTTTCCATTGGTGTTCATCTTTTTTCTTCTTTCCTTCTCTCCATCCATATCTAATTCTCAATGACTTCTCGTCGTCCCTGTCAATCTCGCAATTTCAACTCTCCCTAACTACCTTCCTCCTCTCTTTGTTTACTCATTTCTCTATTCCTCTCCCTAGAATTATCTTGTTTTAATTCTCTTTATCTTTTCTTTCTCATTTTGTTTCTTTTTACTCTATCCGTATCTAAATTTCCTTCTCTCTTTATGACTCTCTAACTTCCCTTCCAATTTTTCTTTGTCTTTCTTTCTCTATTTCAAATTTTTCCTCATCTTTCTGTAGTTGTCCATGATTACCACTCTCCCCGTCTCTCGATACCCTTAAGTCTTTTCCTGTTCATTGTCCTACACTCTATTTCTCCAAATTTTTATTTCTGTCTGACTCTATTCCTATCTATCAATCTGACTCTGATCATATCTATCTATCTATCTATCTATCTATCTATCTGACTGCTCGTATCTGTCTATCTATCTATCTATCTATCTGACTGTTCATATCTATCTATCTACCTGACTCTGTTCATATCTTTCTATCTATCTATCTATTTGACTGTTCATATCTATCTATCTACCTGACTCGGCTCATATCTATCTATCTATATTTCTATCTATCTATCTATCTATCTATTTGACTGTTCATATCTATCTATCTATCTGACTGTTCATATCTATCTATCTATCTGACTGTTCATATCTATCTATCAATCTATCTATCTACCTGAGTCTGTTCATATCTATCTATCTATCTATCTATCTATCTATCTATCTATCTATCTATCTGACTGTTCATCTATATCTATCTATCTATCTATCTATCTATCTATCTATCTATCTATCTGAGTCTGTTCATATCTATCTATCTATCTATCTATCTATCTATCTATCTATTTATCTATCTATACGACTCTGGTCATATCTATCTATCTATCTATCTATCTGTCTATCTATCTATCTATCTGACTGTTCATATCTATCTATCTGTCTATCTGAGTCTGTTCATATCTATCTATCTATCTATCTATCTGTCTATCTGAGTCTGTTCATATCTATCTATCTATCTATCTATCTATCTATCTATCTATCTGTCTGTCTATCTGAGTCTGTTCATATCTATCTATCTATCTATCTATCTATCTATACGACTCTGGTCATATCTATCTGTCTATCTATCTATCACTGTCTGAATTTTCAAATATACCTTTTTCTCTCCTTTGCATTTCTATTTTTACAATTTACTCTTCCTCTCGGCTTCTCTCTGTCGACATTTTCCGTTCTTTAGATCCGACCATCCCTACTTTTCTCTCTCATTTCACTTCTTCTTACCTCTCTATTTATTCTTCTATCTCTATCTCTCACTCTTTCTCTCATCCTTTCTGCATATTCCAACATC